CCTCATGGGTCAGCCACAGAGACGAATCCTGAAGCACTGAGAACTCAGCACTGAAAAATGAAGGTTTGCATCCCTGCTCTCTACCCGGTTGTGCGGTGTTGGTGTGCTTCAGAGACAGAAAGCATGATGGGCACCTCAGAAAAGTGCCATTTCATGATGACCAAGTGTGCATCTTTCCTCAGCAGGTCTGGGAGAGAGTCTCCTCCCTCACACGGTGGCCGTTGCTTCTTCTGCCAGAGACGGAGCATATTCATTCCTCTTTTAATGTGCAGTACCACTCTGAGCTACTTAATGCCTTTTCACCAGAAACAAAGCCCAGGGAGAGCAAAGTACAGAGAGATACTGAGATACACGTAAAGGTAGACTATGGCTGGTTAGCAAGTTCTGCAGAGGTGAGAAAAGCTCTGCTGGCACGAACAGATCACTTCAGCAAGTCCCTGGGAAAAACATGAGTTCAGCTCCTTCTCCACTGTTTAAAAAAAAAAAAAAAAAAAGAGTGAAAGTAAGCATACTGTAAAAGTTAAAGTTGTTTGTGGGACAGCTAGCTGAAAGAGCAGGAGCATTTGTGATTTGCAGGATAGTATAAAGATATCCACATTTTTAGCCTGTTTTAACCAAAATACCGACACAGGAAGGAGTGCATTTTGCCCCACAATAACACATCTTTGTTTCTTAAATGGTATTGCTTATGAATCTTCACTTTCAGTCTAACATATGTAAGGATATCAGATATTGCCTTATTTGTGACTGTGCAGATTATAACCTTAAGAGTTTGCACTCCCTTTATGTAGTGCTCAGCTAGAGACGAGATTTCTTGAGTTTTCCAGCAAAATTGTTAGTTCTTAAAAAGCACTTTTCCTTAGATAAGTTAAATATGTTTTTAGTTAAAATAAGATTGGAGAACTTTGAGGAACTTCTCAGGTGACCTGTGTCTTACAATGGTCCTACACATTTGAACAAGCTGCATTTTCTTTTCCTGACATGCACCTGGACATACTTCAGACTTATGTAATCCCTTTCTGGATGCTGACAAGGCAGTGATGCAGCAGGGGTGAGCACCCTGCAGTGCAGCAGCACAGGGTGTTATCTGTGCTGCCTCGAGCAAAGAGGTTCCTCTGACAGCATTTCTGTCTTTCTTCTTCCAAGGAACTGGTGCTGGTTGTGGCCCAGACTGAGAATAACGGAGCCACAACGGGGGCATGTGCGGCCATGGGAGTTTGCAGCAGTGAACAAAAGTGGGTGGTTTCTCTGATCAAAGTATGTTTATCTGGCAAGGACTGGCCCAACTAACACGGTGCAGCAAGTGTTAACAGCTCTTCCTCTCAAGGCATCCTTAAGGTGAATATAAAGGCACAAAACATCTTGTAGACAGTGGAAGTAGCTGGGGTTTCCCCATGCTGCAGAGCTTCACCACCGTCAAACCTCTGCTTAGGAGACGTGACATGTGCTGGCTCTCGAGGCAAGCACAAAGACCTGATCTTAGCCAGGGATCAGCTCGGGAGCCAGCAGCTCGTTATCCCCACGCTGCATCTGTCCCAGTCAGCCCTGCCTGCTGGCTCCTGGCAGCCCAAGGGCTCTGTGGGGCCGCTCCTCCGGGGCAGCTCTGTTAATGCCCCTCTGCAAGCTGCTCCAGCTGTGCCAGGAGAGAAGCAAATCTTTCTGCTGGCCAGGCTGCCTCTGCCCTCAGGGTCTGTGCTGGCTTGGGAGGGGCAGGGTCTATAAATGGCCCAAAGCCCGGACTTCTGGGGGAAAACCAGTTTTCTGATTTGATTCATGTGATTGGAGCTAAAAGAGGGGTGCTCTGAACATGGTGGGTGCTGTTCGGGCAGTCCCTAAATTTGTTGCTGACCCAGATATTACTTCCCCTGGCTGAAGGCAGCAGCTGAAGCAAGGCAGGGCCAGTAACACACGCTGTCCCCGTGCCAGCTGCTGGAGAGGCAACAGCATCGTCTCTGGACTCCCTGGCAGAAAACACCTTTACATGAAAAGATCTGCCACAGCCTCCCTAACTATGGCACAAGGAGGGGGAAAAAAAGATATTAACGGGTGAGATCCGAGTGTGGTGTTTTCTGTGTACAAATCGCTTTATCCTAAGTTGTTCCAGTAAAATAAATGGAGCAGGTCAGAGAGTGAGCAGCTTCTCAATGCACAGACATGGCTGGAACTTGCTTTTTGGGTTTATTTTAGAAATGAACTCTGAAAAAGAAAAATGGAGTCAAGTGAAGTGGGAATAATAGCGGGAGACTTGGGAAAAGGACCTTTATTGAGTTATTCTGTTCTCACTTGGATAGTCTTGCTAATATTAATGAAAGACAGTTGTAACTTGGCTGTTACTTTGTATGACTAAGAGCAGTGTTTTATTGTATAAAATCTGAAACATTAAAACAAGCCACTAGTGAACAGTTTATCCAAAATTAAGGAAAAAAAAAAAAGAAAAAGATAAATGAAATAGGAACATGAAATATGTCTTCCAGCAAGTTCTGAAACAGGTCTTGTGGGGCACAGTGCAGATATTTCAAATATGTCAAGGGTAGGCTGATATTTCTTTAAGTCAAAATTAAAAAGAAATGGGAATCATGGGAATCAAGCTGCAACACTCTCCTCTTCATCACCCTGGTGTACAGCAGAAGGCTGAGGCTTATTTACGGGAAGCTTGAACTGAAATTAGTAACCTGTGTGTACATTATTGATGCTTCACCTCTCCCGCAGGAGTGAGAATGCTGAATTTCTCAACAACACCCACTGCTCCGTGCGTTACTGAACTGCAAGTTGAGGCACCTAAACCAGATTTCCTCCTATAGCATGCTGTTAAACTGATAACTAGTATCAGTAGCAATCCTTGGAAAAAATGTTTATATAGTCCTCTGCCTGTTTTTACCAGACCTAGATTAATATACAGCTCCAACTATTCATCATCGATGGTAAACATCTTGATGTAGAGTCTCGTTTTTGGTGTGTTATGGCAGACCTCATCCATGCAGCCATGCAGAGAACATATTCACTAATCCTGGGCTATCAGTATCCAAATTAGTGTACAGACCTGCAGCCCCAGACGAAACACAGGATAGAAATAAAATCAGTTACAGCTGCATTTAGACATACTGCTTTTTGCCCACTTAGAAGGTGTTTTAATAGGGAGGGTAGTGTATGCTACAGTCCTCACCCAGGACACTCTGGGAAGCGTAAGGGTGGCTCAGAGAGACAGAGCAGGCTGCCAAATGGGATGGAGCACCACAACCAACAGGTTAGGAAGGTCTTCAGATGTTGGCCGCTGAAAAAAGTAAAGCCAAGGGAAGAGTCATTTAAACCCTCCCTTCCTCTGACATCTCTTGCCTACTTGTGGGCTTGGGGCCCCAGCAGAGAGGAGAACTTTGGTCTGAGCTGGTGATGCTGCTCTGATGTACGCAGAGGTGCCTTGTCCTGAGAGTTAATACAATAATTGGGCTAAGAAGCAATTTGGGTAATCTGTTTCATGGAGGGTTTCTTTTCTTTCTTCTGCTTCTTAGGACACGCATATCCTTTTCTAGCAACAGTTTCTTTCTCCCTTAGGCAGAGCACAAGACTAAAATGAACATGATTTTGGCTGAGTAATAGGGATATACTGCTAAGTGCTTTTTCTTGCCTTGTCCTTTTCTCCTCTTCCTCTCTCTTTCTTTCCCTCTGAAGACTTAGGTTACCAATTTTGAAGACAACATGCGGGTCAACTAAAAAGATGGGGATCAGACAGCATCCAAACATCCTTGTTGCTAAGCCCCAGTGATGCACCAGAAATTGTGTGAAAAGAATGAGTTTGCTGCTACAAACACTGCTGAGCTCCTGGCTCTCAGCAGAAACACGTAAATGCCTGATATAGAAGACTGCAAAGCACATACAGTAGCCATGCCTTATTACTTTGCCTAACAAACATTCTTTTTGCCTTCGAACCTCTGAATACAAAGCTGTCATTTATGGATTTGTGGTTTCACTAGGTGGCTCAGCCACAGTGTTCATGGACTTGCTGGAGAAGCCCACTTCAGTACATGGTATCTGCAGTCTCTTGGTCTGGTTTTGTACCTGCACATATCAAAGTAACACCAAGAGAAATGTAACTTTCTTTTTCAAAGTCATGGAAAGTGAATTGACGCAAGTTGCCTTGAGAAGTCTCTCTTATCATATCAGTGGTACTAGTGTCCTGCTTAAAAAGGAATGAAACAGCTTTCCCAAAGCCTTTTCTGTAGTTGCAGAAGAAAAAGTGGATGGTGGAAGGGCTGATGGGAGCATGCATAGATTCCTATGGGAGATCAGCACTCTCTTCTCTGTTCCCCAGCTCTGCCATCTTCTGCTTCTGGCAGATGATCCTGATGTCTCTTTGCCTCCCCTTGTCACCCACCTATTCTTCCTGTCCTCTCAGGCTCTCAGTGGCATCAGACTGGCACTGCTGCAGACAGGGAAGAGCATCAGGCGTTCCAGCTGTGGTGACAGCCTGCAGCATAGAAGGGCTCTGCTCCAGCAGGTGAGATAGGAGCTCAGAAAGATACAGCGCTTACCCTTCCCATGCCTGTAATTTCAGCTTGAACGGAACCAGTGTTGTATCATAGAAGAGATGCCAGCTATAAACAAAATTCTTCTGAGAAGTTAGAAATCAGCTTTCTCCGATCTGGAAATATCATTTCATTCATTATTTTCATTTACTACTAAAGTGTTTTACACTCCAGATCTTTGGTAAATGGATCTAGTCAAGGATGGCTGTGCGGTAACATCTTGGCTAACAATGCCTGGGGGGACTTAACTGAGGGGATATCTGTCCCCAGAGCTGGAGAGATATGTTACCAGCTAGGAGGTTACTTCTTGACTATACTAGGGTCTGAGCATTTGCTGTATCAGCTTGCAGAGGAGACTCGTGCAGAGCTGTGGCAGGAGGTTCACTACAGCTTTTATGCTCAGGCAGCACACTGGCGAGCTCTGCTCAGACAGCAGCATGACTCGAGCACGGACACAAAGGAGCTGCCCTGCACCTTCCCATGGAGAGGATGAGAGAAGAGAGGAGCCAAGTGCCAGAGAATGGACCTGTGCATAACAGTGTGCTTTGTGCAGTCTACAGTCAGGTGAGTCATTGCCCATAACCTTTACCTGAGCCTAAACATTTCCAGCGTGTGCTGGAGCAGAGCAGGAGCTGCTGTTCAAACCCCCAGTCTAAGCGACTGCCAACCATTTGAGAATAGGTGGAGGAATGCAACAGGGAACTGGACAAGCTCTCGCTAACCTGCAGCAGAGTGAGAGGAAGAGGAGTTGTGCTCCCTCCCATAGCAGGGTCCTCCTAGCGCACAGCGGGCCAGAAACAATGAGTGGTGGAACAAGCCAAATGCTGAACACCAGCACCATCTGAGGAGCGGTTGTGGGAGATGACCTGAGCTCTTGGCAAAGCAATCCAACACGGCCAACTTCCAGAAAAGCAGCAGCAATATCCCTTAAGGTAGCGGGCTTTTCAAAATGCCAGTGTTATTTTTCAGGGTGAAACGGATTAATGATATTTAGAATTAGGTCACTGACTGCCTCAGGAACTGTACCTTAACCTTTGATAACCCTCATTCTGGGAAGTAAGTGTCAATTAGGGCTCATTGAAAGGTGGCTGACCTTTTAACCTGCACGGCTGTGTGGGAGATGCTCTTGATCTATGGAGAACCCAGGGAAATGTGCTTTGTTTACCCAGGGAAAAAGACTGCAAGGAAATTAGCCCTTTGGTTTTCTAAGACTTACGTGCTGACATAAGGCTGAATCCAAAGCTGGCCAAGCTCTTCTATGCCACTGGAAAAATCAATAATTGGCATCTCCAACAGCAGATCCCTAGAATCCAGTTAGGATGTGAAACAAAAATTGCCCCTTGAGTTCTCCAGCAGTTTTATGCTTTCATTACATTCATTGTTTCCAGTGGGCATTTAAGCATTTAATTCTGTTACTGCTTTCGGTGGAATCTGGGCATCTGAAGCACCATATAGGATCAAATAAGCAGTTTTGAAGACCTAAATTTAAGGGAGGACAGCTGAACATTTCGCTGAAGACTGCTACAAAACCATGGACTGGAGAGAAATTTTACTGCAGATGTGACTTCAGGCTGAATAAAGAGGAAAGCTTTGAAATGGTCTTGTTAATCCCCAGCTTCCACAAGTAAATCAGGTTCCAGCAGGTAGGGGCTTTGACGGCTGTTTTCAGGAGAGCCTCAACAGAGTGGAATCTACATCTTTGCTGCTCCAGTGTATCATAGGTTGAACTCCCAGTGAAGGTGGATTTGAACTGGGAGCTAAGCAGCTGGATATGTGTCGTACTCTGACATTCCTGTTGTACATAACAACTTCCCAAAGAAGACTGGAGAGACATTTGGGTACAGTGAGGTCTTCAGCTGGCACCATGAGTTGAGACCAAGGAATTGCATTGGACCTCCCAGAGTTCAGGTCTGATGATCTCTGCACTAAGCCTTGCATCAGAGCAGTGCAGCTGGTGGAGGATGATGTCTCCATAGAGCTTTTCTCTGCCTGCAGAGGACCGCAGCAGGGACGCTCTGGCAGACTGCATGAAACCCCTTCAGTTCCTTGGTGGTTCTTATGGCGCACAGAAAACAAGATGTTGGTGTGATTCTCTCTGATGGCCCATGAAGCCGATCCATTCCAATCGTGGGGAAAATTGGAGGTTGATCACCACTTTCCCCTGGAAGAGCTGCTGGCATGGTTGAACACTGAACAGTAAGGCGCTCTGTCCCCTCTGCCAGGAGCGAGACAGTAAGCCCAAGCAAACAGTGAGGAGCAGGGGCTGACTGAAAGCTGGATATGGTCAGCGAACGTCAGACTAGATAAGGAGTGAAAGAAAGCAGTCCTTTTTGATACACAGCTCTTTTGTAACTTCATATAGAGGAAGAGTTAAAAGATCCACAAAGGCTGTCTAAAGCGAAACCTGCAGTTAAGCTGTCTGCAAGGTACACAGAAGTCGAGATTTTGAAAGTAGAGATGCTTTTACATCCTTCCCCAAGGTGTATGAGTGAACAGTGTACTCTGAGCAAGCAGCTGAGGTCTTTCTATTTGGTGATGGGCTCAGACAGGGAGAAGGATGTCAGGATTCGCAGGCAGAGCGGGTCTGTCACACAGTTTACCTTTTCTTTTTGAAGTAACTTGCAGGTCACCTTTGTCTTGTTACTGACAGATAAAAGTAGAAGAGAAGGAATAATCTGAGAAATAGCTGAGAAGTCCCGTTGCTGCAAGAAGAACAGAGATTGTGGTCCACGGAGCTGCTTTCCAGGGTCAGGTTCTCAGCTGGGCTAAGACACCACCACTCCTCCAGCTGTCACAGTTAAGCAAAGGTCTATTTTGTGGTGTAAATCAAAACATTATCAATTATTTTTCAGAAAACTGGGTTTTATCTTTGTTATATTCATGTATATGCCCATACACATTTATTCACTTGTATTTATGCAACTTCTATTAAGTATGTATAGACATTATTGCTTTCAAATAGATAAAATGGTCATAATCCCCAGCTGTAAAAAAAGAACTGCAGTCCTGTGAACTGTCAAGGGGAGAGACCTTTAGACCAGTTCAGAAAATGACCCATTTCATGTCCTTTCATTTTATTTTGTTTCATTTCCTATTAAATCTTAGTTTAAGGAAACCTAAAAGAACAAACAGATTACATTGTAAAGCTGATGCCCTCAGGATTTAAGGTACTCTGTCAAATTGATGGCTGAGATTCACAGCCCATGTTCATTTCCTAGCTAAAAAGCCATTCAATAACTTCTGTATTTCTTGGAGCAAGATACCTTCTTATTTTGGAATTTGTACAGCTTCTCACAAGAGGTCTAGTTTGAGTTTCTTTGCACGTGGCTCATACAGACCTAAAATAACAATTACGAGAGTATTTAGTTCTCTGTTATGTGCATTAGATTGAGGAGCCTGTGCTGTTGTGAACTACAGAATCAAACATGCAGAGACCGACTTAAAATCCCTCCTGGGTGCAACTATCTATTAGTTTTGATATAAGAAATGGCCCCAAACTAGAAGTGATTCCATATTACATGAATGCCCATCTCCCAGTTTTATAGGACTGTAGGGTCAACACTTCCAATATTTTGTAATGTTGTCTTCTAAGCATGAAACTGCCATCACTTCGTGAATACTCACCCCACCACACAGGGAGCTACCCTGACTCTATCAGGAGAGATCACTACGCAGGTGGATTTTTTTTCCCATCCTGCAGTTTCACAGTCTGTAGCAGACTTCCTGCTTGTCACTTCAGCACCCAATCTGGAAAAAACAGAGCTAATCTGCCTTCCCAAAGCCAGCGCAGGCTTGCAAAGAGAAAAGCCCTCCTTGCTCTGAAGGCCTCTCACAGTGGACAGATAAGGGGCAGAAGAAGGGAGAGCCTCAGCCCAAATCCGAGCTGGCAGCAACAGGAATGCTAACGTTGGTTCCCAAGCAGAGTCGTCAGCCATCAGGTCTAGTCGAGTCAATTCCTCTGCCTGCTTCTGGGAAATAATTCTGCAGTACCGTACAGAATAATGCATCTTATTTATATTTTAGTTCTTATAACTCTTAGCAAAAATGGTTATGCGTTACACAAAATTTTTCTACCTGCAGCTTTTGCTTTGTCTTCTGAGACATATCCCTTGTCCATTGCCTAGTTACAGTCAGAAGGAATCCTTAGGGCACACCAAAATGGAAAACATTCCCTCTCTGAGATAATAATAAGGGCTAAAGGCTGTAAGACACTATCTCAGGGCTGACCCATGCGAAACATTTGCTGTAGCTGCAAGGACTGGCGGAAAAAAGCTTCTGAGGCTGGGATAACTCATGCTTGATGTACAGAAACCGAAATTTTATACCACTGGCACGAAGAGATCCTCACGAATTAGGGTTGGCCAAAGTGTTAAAAAAGATGCCCGCAGCTTCCTTTGCAGAGCAGCCCCCAGCAGCGTGGTAACAGGGACCTGGGGAAAAAAAGCCCTCAGTGTTTTTAATTTTTCCTTTTTAGCGATCTCATTTCAACATTCACTTCTTGCTACGTGCAAAGTACAAATTGTAATGTCAGTCTCTTATCCATTAAGGGTTAAATGGTGTAAGAGTTGTTGTGAAAGAATGATACTGGCCATTTCTAATCCAGCACACTTTCCATGTAACAGCTGACCTCCTCACAGACCTGAAGCAAAACTAAGCATGCTCAAATCATTCGAATCCCTTCACCCCACATCTTGGGTACATTCACAGACCCTTAATCCAGACTGAGCTGTGGGTGCTGGCTGATCTAAACCCAGCAGAGACATCCGTGATCGTTCGCCTGCACTGATGGATTCGCCCCTCCATCTCCCTCTGCTCTGCACGCCTGCATGGTATCATCATTTCTCCGCAGGCACCGCATTATTTTTGTGTTGGGTACGTGGCGGTGGAAATTGTGAGGATCCTTTCCACAGTGGGCTCCAAGCCCTCCCTGTTGAGGGACAACTGCAGGCCCTGAGGACCTTCAACTCAACGATCAGGAACACAGCAGCTGCTGCTGTGGCTGACACAGGTCCCACGGGCATCACTGGTGGCACATCTCAGCCAGGGTGGGTGCCAAGGCGGCTGCCATTTCCCACGGCAGGGCATGCAGGTGGATGCCAAAGGCAATGTGGTAGTGAATGAGTGCCAGAACACCACCAGGAGAGAGGTCTGTGCCATCAGGCACATCTGTGGGAGAGCCCTCCTCACCCCAGTACTGTGGCTGTGCCCCCCTCAAAGCCCCTCGTCCTCGTGCTGTGCTGTGGCTCAGGCTCCCCATCCTTCCCCACAGTGACGATCATGACTGGCAGAAAGCTGGCACACAGGCTCTTCATGGGTAAGTAAGGCTCCTGGCTGGACTACCATGATAAGCCCCACCACCATCTTCAGCCACATGCCCACCAGCACCACGGGCCTCACCGATGGTGGGGGCGGCAGCATGAGGGAAGAGGCTCGGGACATGGCAGCTCAGAGCTGCTGGTTTGATGCTTGAGGAAACAATCTGACCTCTGGCAAGTGGTCTGAGCCTTGCAAAATGTGCTTTAACGCCCTCTTTTGCAGTACATGTTGTGTTGTATCTTCTGCTGCAGATGAAGCCATGGTCAGACACAGGAGGGAGAACACGAAGATCTACAGCATGTCCTTCACCCCCTTGTACCACTCTGCCACCCAGAGGAAGTTAAAGTGTGTCACGAAGCTGGTGTGCAATGGCGAGGAGGAGAAGGTGCATGGAGGGGACCAGGGGAATAACTGGGTGCTGCAGGGGGATGGCTTGGCTCACCGTGGTCTGCTCTGACCTGCTCAGACTGGGTCTTGGGCTGGGATCCAGCTCCCTAGCTCCAAGCCTAGTATTTGGCCTGGATTTTGCCAGTGCTGAGTCCCATCCAGCCTTCTCACTTCTTCCTCAGATGCGGTGGAAATGAACACACAAGGGCTGGGCGGCAACGAAATGCTGTGGGACTTTGCCATGGCCTTCAAAATGGGGGCCACCAAGGCCGACTTGAACAGCACTGTTGCCATTCACCCCACTTCTGCCAAAGAGCTGGTGATGCTGCGCTGAGGTGGTGGGTGTGAGCAGCCCACGGAATGGCAGGTGAAGAGGTGGTGGCGTGGTCCCTTGGTGTGGTTTGGGGGAAGGCTGCTGGTGGCAGGGCTCGTCCTCTGCCATCCCAGGCACCAGGGGTGTGTGGGGAGCAGCAGAGCAGGACAGGACGGCTGGGTGCTCGGGGAACTCATGGGTGCTGGAGCATCCTCGGTGGGCTGTGTCCTCTGCTGCGGGCACCCACATTTTCTGGTTGTGCAGCTCCAGGCTTTGCTGTGGTGTCTCAGTCCCGGCAGGCAAGAAAATCCTGCCCAGCCTTCCTAACGCCATCAGGATCAGTGGAGCCAGCCCTGGGATGCTGTTTTTTTTAAGGGGGGGTAGAAGTGCCTGAGGGCTAGGGGGGTGTGTGTGATGGGACACCCCTGCAGGCAGCCAAGTGGCGGGGTGACTTGCGGGTGCCGGAGAAGCTTTGTGGGCACTGAACACCCCGTGTATGATGGCACTTGTGGTGGTGACGGGATTGGGACCAGAATGAGTCCGAGGTCTCCATTTCCTGCCCGGTTGTGCACTGGCTGGAGAAAGGGAGCAAAAGGCTGTGGAGGACATGCACAGGCAGGGGCTGAGTATCTGCAGAAACCTCCTTTTTGGAGGGAATTGGGCAGAAAAGCAGAAGGAAGCTGAGAGCCAGGTGTCTGTGTGAAACCACGTCCCCGGAGGTCCCCGGTGGGGGAACCGAAAGGGCCAGAGGCCAGGACCCAGCGTGCAGAGAAGGCCATTGCTGGAAATCATTCGAGGAGCAGGGGTGAACTCAAGCAATGGAGGGTGGGGAAAAGCTGCAGTTTTGGGCTGTGGGGGTCCCCTGGGTGCTGCTGCCTCTGGCCCCCACGCTGTAGCATCCCGAGGACAGAGCTGGGACAGGCAGCCCCCCAATTCCTGTCCCTGGCAGCTCTTCCCTGGGGCAGAATCTGTGGAGACTCGTCCCAGCTCCGGGCATGGCTGTCCCTGAGGGGCTCGGGGGGAGCCGGGGCCACCTGCCCCAGAGCTGCAGCAGAATGGGTGAGCCGAAGGACACCTCGAGTAGGATGGGTGACGTGAGGATGGACACTGGGGGTGGCCTGGGCACTCCGGCCCTCTCCTGCTCTGACCCTGTGGTGCCTGAGCTCCAGAGCTGCTGGCCTGAGAGCAGCAAGCGGCCGAAACCGGGCCCTCACCCAGGAGAAGCTGGGGAGAGCCGGGCCCCTGCCCAGCACAGACCGGGTGCTCCGAAGGGAAAGTGGCTCCCCGGGGTTCC